TTTTGATCAATTTCTCACCATTTTCCCCCATTTTGGGGTCTCTCAGCAGCCGCAGCTCTGCCGGGTTGGGGTCGGAGCCCCCCGGGGCTGTCGGAGCTGCCGCAGCGACGAATCCCCAAATTGGATCCCCGACCCCATCCGCTCCGGGTCCAGCTCCCCTGGAAAAAAAATCACATTTTTAGAACCCCAAAATGTTAAAAATTTACCCCAAAATCACCCCAAAAAAAATGGGAATTTTTTGAGGCAGAAATGGCCAAAATCTGCACAAAAATCGCCCCAAAATCGCTCAAAATGCACCTAAAATCATCCCAAAATCACCCCAAAAACATCTCAAATTCTATGAAAAAAATTGGGATTTTTAGGATCCCAAAATATCCCAAAATTGCCCCAAAATCCCTTGGAAAAAATTGGGAATTTTGGGTTCCCGAAATCCCCAAAAATCCTCTCAAAAATCATCTCCAAAATGGCCCAAATCCACCCCAAAATTCCCTCAAAATCCACCCAAAATCACCCCAAAATATCCTGGAAAAAAATGGGAATTTTGTGATCCCAAAAATTTTTCCTGAAATTCCAAATTTTCCCCAAAATTCCCATTTTTTTTCCCAAAGTTCCCTCTTTCCCCCCTAAAAAATCCCATTTTTTTCCCCCAAAATCCCAATTTTTTTTCCCAAATTCCCAAATCTTTTCCCAAAATCCCCAGGATTTTCCCCAAATCCCAGATTTTTTTCCCAAAATTCCCAATTTTTCCCCCAAAATCCCCCAAATTTTTCTCAAATTTCCCCAAAATTCCCAGATTTTTCCCCAAAATTCCCAATTTTTCCCCCAAAATCCCCAAGATTTTTCCAAAATTTCCCCAAAATCTCCCAATTTTTTCCCAAAATTCTCATTTTTCCCCCAAATTTTCCCATTTTTTTCCCAAAATCTCCCAATTTTTGTCCTAAAATTTCCAATTTTCCCCAAAAATCTCCCATTTTTTCCCCAAAATCTCCCAATTTTTCCCCAAATCCCAGATTTTGTCCCAGTTTTCCCAATTTTTTCCCCAAATCCCCATTTTTTCCCCCAAAATTCCCATTTTTTCGTTACCGGAGTCGATTTTGTTGAGGATGCTTCGGGCGCATTTCAGGAACGCCTCCTCCACGTTCTCCCCCGTCAGAGCGCTCGTCTCCAAAAACATCAACTCTGTCAACCCAAAATTCCCAAATTTAAACCCAAAATTCCCAAAATTCCATCAGAAAATTTCCTGGGAAAAAACCAAAAAAAATTCCGGGAAAAAATGCGAAATTTGGACCAAAAAACGCGAATTTTTCATGAAAAAATGCAAAATTTTCACAAAAAATCACAAATTTTTCATTAAAAAATCCAAATTTTTTCCCCAAAATTCCATCGGGAATTCCCAAATTCCATCGGGAATTTTCCCGGGAAAAACTCCCGAAATTCCCATGAAAAAATGCGAAATTTTGACCAAAAAATGCAAAATTTTGACCAAAACCCATCACATTTTCACCAAAAAAATTCCAAAATTTCTACTGGAAATCCCAAATTTTTACGCAAAATTCCATTGAGAATTCCCAAATTTTCATTGGGAATTTTCCCGGGAAAAAAAACAAAAAAAAAAATCTGGGAAAAACCGCGAAATTTTCACAAAAAAATGCAAATTTTTCATGAAAAAAATCAGAATTTTTTTCCCAAAATTTCTACTGGAAGTGCAAAATTCCAGGAAAAATCCCCAAAATTCCCATTTTTCCCCCATTTTTTCCCCAATTATTCTCCCATTATTTTCTTCATTTTTCCCCCATTTTTCATCGTTTTTTCGCCGTATTTTCGCCATTTTTTCACCGATTTTCACCGTTTTTTCACCATTGTTCATCATTTTTTCCCATTTTCCCCGTTTTTCTCACCATTTTCCTGTGCGAACCTCGACGCCTCCAGGAACGTCACCTCCCTCTCCCCCTCCAGGTCCTTTTGCCCTCATTTTTCACCATTTTTTGGTGATTTTTTGGTGATTTTTTGGTGATTTTTCCCCATTTTTTTCCATTTTTCTCCCATTATTTTTCCCATTTTTTCCCTATTTTTCCCATTTTTCCCCAATTATTTTCCCCATTATTTTCCTTCACTTTTTTCCCATTTTTTCGTCATTTTTTCCCCATTTTTCATCATATTTTCCTCATTTTTCCACCGTTTTTCACCATTTTTTTTTTATTTTTCCCCCAAATCTTTTCAGATTTTCCCAAATTTTCCCGTTTTCCCGTTTTTTCTCACCATTTTCCTGTGCGAACCTCGACGCCTCCAGGAACGTCACCTCCCTCTCGCCCTCCAGGTCCTTTTTGTTGCCGCAGAGGATGATGACGATGTTGGGGCTGGCCAAGGTCCGAGCGTCCGTCAGCCACTGCGCCAGCGCGTTGTACGTCTCGCGGCTTTTGGGGTGAAATCCAGAGAAATTGGGAAAATTCCGAGAAAAACAAAAAAAAAAGCAAGAAAATCGGTTAAAAAATGACGAAAATACAAAAAAAAACCCGAAAAATTCATTAATTTGCATTATGATGTCATAAGTCAATGTGATGATGTCACAGAGTGTTGTACGTCTCACGACTGAGATTTTGGGGTGAAATCCGCCAAAATTGGGAAAAAATGGGAAAAAACAAAAAAAAAAGTGAGAAAATCGGTTAAAAAATGACAAAAATACAAAAAAAAAGAGATGAATTCGTTAATTTGCATGATGACGTCATCAATCGACATGGTGATGTCACACTTGGTTACTGGGTCCMGGCTAAAAACCTCAAAATCAAAAAAATGGGAAAAAAATGGGGAAAAAAGAAAAAGAAAAGGTGAAAAAATGAGAAAAATACGAAAAAAAAAGGAGAAAATGTCATTACTTCTCATGATGATGTCATCAATGAAAGTGATGATGTCACACTCAGCTTGTTGTACGACTCACGGCTTTTGGGGTGAAATCCGCGGAAATCGGGGAAATGATGACATCACCAACCCAATGATGACGTCACAGACCCACCCGGTGACATCACACTCATGCTATGACGTCACTGCCCCAAATGATGACATCACCAACCCAACAATGACCTCACCCCCACCCTGATGATGTCACGAACCCAATGATGACATCACAGACCCACCCGGTGACATCACATGCCCCTCACATGATGACGTCACCACCAAATAATGATGTCGCAGAACGCTTGATGATGTCGTAGACCCCGTGATGACATCACAAACCCATTGATGACGTCATAAACCCATTGATGATGTAATAAACCCATGATGACGTCATGAACCCATTGATGATGTAATAAACCCATTGATGACGTCATGAACCCATAGATGACATCACAGACCCACCTGGTGACATCACCACTCTCCTCACGCTATGACGTCACCGACCCAATGATGATGTCAGAAACCAACTGATGAGGTCACAGATCCCTTGATGACGCCAGAAACCCAACCAATGACATCACTGCCCCCCATGATGATGTCACTGCCCCAATTATGACGTCACCGCCCCAGTGATGATGTCACCAACCCATTGATGATGTCACAGACCTACCCGGTGACATCACATGCTCCTCATGTTATGACGTCACTGACCAAATAATGACGTCACTGCCCCGATGATGTCATAGATGCCTTGATGACATCACAAACCCAACCAATGGCGTCACTTTCCACATCCAATGACGTCACCGTCCCATTGATGACATCACCGACCCCTTGATGATGTCAGAGCCCCAATGATGACATCACAGACTCTCTTTGATGACGTCACGCACCCACCTGCTGATGTCATAGACAAGCAGCGCCCCCCAATGATGACATCACAAACCAAACCAATGACGTCACTTCCCACACCCAATGACGTCACCGTCCCCTTGATGACATCACCGACCCTGTGATGATGTCAGAGACCCCGTTGATGACGTCACGCACCCACCTGGTGATGTCATAGACGAGCAGCGGCCTCCAATGATGACATCACAAACCCAAACAATGACGTCATAACCCCACCCAATGACGTCAGCACCCACCTTTGATGACGTCACAGAGCCCATCAATGACGTCACGCACCCACCTGGTGATGTCATAGACGAGCAGCGCCCCCAATGGTGACATCACAAACCCAACCAATGATGTCACACCCCCTTTGATGACGTCACAGACCCATTAATGACGTCACTGTCCCTTTGATGACGTCACAGAGCCCAAATGATGACGTCACACACCCACCTGGTGACGTCATAGAGGAACAGCGCCCCAAATGATGACATCACAAACCCAACCAATGACGTCATCGACCCCTGATGACGTCACAGACCCCATGGTGACGTCACAGACTCCGTTGATGATGTCACGCACCCACCTGGTGATATCATAGGCGAGCAGCGCCCTCCAATGATGACATCACAAACCCAACCAATGACGTCACCACACCCCTGGTGACATCACAAACTCACTGATGACGTCACAGACTCACTGATGATGTCACAGCCCCAATGATGACATCACAGATCCCGTTTGATGACGTCATGCACGCACCTGATGATGTCATAGACAAACAGCGCCCCCATGATGACATCATAAACCCAACCAATGACATCACAGACCCAACCGGTGATCTCACCACTCTCCTCCAATTATGACGTCACGAACCCAATGATGACGTCACGGACCTCTTGATGACGTCACTAACCAACCCAATGACGTCAGCGACCCGTGATTACATCACCCCTCCAATGATGACGTCACAGAGCATCAATGACGTCACAGACCTAATGATGACATCACCAACCCAATGATGACATCACAACCCCGTGATGACATCACTGAGGAAACCAATGTAGTCAGAAACCCACCCAATGACATCACTGCCCCAATGATGACGTCACCACCCCAATGACAACGTCACAGACCCCATTTTGATGACCTAATAGACCCAATGATGACATCATTGATCCCTTGATGACGTCACAAATCCACCCAATGACATCAGAAACCCACCCAGTGACATCACCACCCCCTTGATGACATCACAAATGCAACAAATGACGTCACACACCCTTTGATGACATCACAGGCACCGTGATGACGTCATTGACCCCATTGATGACGTCGCACACCCACCTGGTGATGTCATAGACAAGCAGCGCCCCGCAATGATGACATCACAAACCCAACCAATGACGTCACAGATCCACACCCAATGACATCACAGTCCACCCCAATGATGTCATAGACCCACACCAATGACGTCACACACCCTTTGATGACATCACACGCCCCGTGATGACGTCATAGACCCCGTTGATGACGTCACAGACCTCCATGATGACGTCACACACCCACCTGGTGATGTCATAGACAAGCAGAGTCCCAATGATGACATCACAAACCCAAGCAATGATGTCATCGACCCACCCAATGACATCACACCCCATTTGATGACATCACAGACCCCATGATGATGTCATCACGCCCCCGATGACATCACGCATCCACTGGTGACGTCACAGCCCCATTGATGATGTCACAAATCCCATGATGACGTCACAGACCCCACTGATGATGTCACGCACCCACCTGGTGATGTCATAGACGAGCAGCACCCCCCAATGATGACATCACAAACCCAACCAATGACGTCACAGATCCACCCAATGATGTCCCCACCCCCACTGATGATGTCACACACTCAGTGATGACATCACATACCCTGTTGATGACGTCACAGACCCCATTGATGACGTCACACACCCACCTGGTGATGTCATAGACGAGCATCGCCCCAATGATGACATCACAAACCCAACCAATGACGTCACAGCCCCACCCAATGACATCACCACACCCCTGATGACGTCACGGGCCCCATGATGATGTCACAGACCCTTTGATGACATCACAGACCCCTTTGATGACGTCACAGAGCCACCTGGTGATGTCATAGATGAGCAGCGCCCCCAATGATGACATCACAAACCCAACCAATGACGTCACAGTCCCACCCAATGACATCACAGTCCACCCCAATGATGTCATAGACCCACACCAATGACGTCATGACCCATTTGATGACGTCACACACCC